CAGCGCTCTCGATAGTGTGGACCATGAACTGTACTATTAGTGCACACTGCAGTGCACACTGATAGTGCGTGGACTATTGGTTCAGTGTAGGTTTTCCGCACTGCACTGATGGTCCAGTGTAGGGCTGTCGCACTACACTGACAGTCCAGTGTAGGTCGACCACACGGACCAGTAGTTCAGTGCGAGCCTTCCGCACTAATAGTGCAACTATTAGTGCGCCCAAGACGCGACGGCCGGACAACCGGTTTCGAATCTATGAGCCGCGGCATGTCAGAACGCGATGCAAGGGCACGGGACGAGACGCGCTTGACGCGTCACGAACAATTCCAGCGAATTGTTGAGGAACGTTAGTGGGTACAGCGTTGCACCCAGCAGGTGTGTCATCCGATAGGTATTGTCCAACTGGTGCTATTGAAAGCACCCGGCCGTAGGCCTCGACCGAGGAATCAGGTGTACACAACTGAATTTCAACAGCACCCTACGTATTGTCGCTTTCAAAGTTCCAACTGTCTAGCTAATTTTCCAACCGGAATATGCGCCACAACTTGGGAGGTGAGATTTATGTGGAAAGCGCGGGCATCGTGATGTTGAAAGATACTAATTATGCCACCACACATAAGTAGCGGCCGAGGTACCCACTATCCTGCCTCTGTAGGGTAGCGCGCTTCGGCGCAGGCTGAATGCTCATCACCATGCCCGAAGTATCGCTTCCACCCGAACACCAAACTGGCGCGAACTTTGACACGAGGCAACGGGTCCAAGTCTCGCCAACTTTTCAAGTCAGGGGACATGGGCTCATGTTCGGTAACCCTGATTGGCCGGAGGGTCAAAAAGGCGAGCAAACTGGAATTTGAAGGCAGAGTCCAGATTGTGGCGCGTTTCAACGCGTAGGCGTGGTCTATCATAAAGTGGCCAGTCGCTCACGTTGCCAGGCCGAACTCACGGGCGCGATTTCTGCGAAGGATCAAGTACGTGCACTTTCTCCTTCTTCAAATATTGTCTGCATGCCGCATTGACTGCATCATGTCTTCCGTCGTGGATCAATCCGACACGGCTAGTGCGCTTGGCAGCACCAGCCCACTTGATGATTCGGACCTTCCTATCGACACAGCTAGCTTCTCGTCCTTGGCGCCATCGTCTTCGCCCCCCATTGGCGTGTGCCGCAGAACGACGTCGCCCATCTGGCAGTACTGTCGAAAAGAAGAAGGCAAGAGTGCTCCGACAGCTTGGCTCGATTCCAACGGCACGAAATGGTGGCACTGCCAGCCCTGCTTCGACAAAAAAAGAATGAAGAAATACAACTACTCCGGAGGGTCCTCTGCCATCGTCAGTCATTTGCGGAAGGAGCACAGTATCATGCTCTCGAGCAGACAGGAGTCCAGGCGCGATGCCACACAGAGCCGTCTTGGGGACATCACCGCCTTCCTGGGCCATGATGCATTGCCTGCAACCAAGAAACGCAAAGCGACAGCAGAGCCCGATGCGCTAGACCAGGCCACCCTGCGCGAGGTATACTGCCGCTACACCGTAGCCTGCAGCCTCCCCTTTGATCATGTCGAGCAGCCGGCATTTCGAGACTTCATCCGGTATATTCGCCCGGTCGCTGATGATTTGCTCCCAAGGGCCGGGAGTACGGTAAAAGTCGACTTGCAAAATGCGTACGACAACAAAAAGGAATTTATCAAGCGCGCGCTGCAGAATGCCCTTTCTTCGATTCACATCGTTCCCGACAACTGGACGTCGCCAAATTGCTTGGGTGTCATAGGATTCACAGCCCAGTTCGTCACTGAAGATCACGGCCTACAGTCCATCGTTCTGAGAATACGAGAACTGGATGGTCAGCACAGTGGTGAGAACATGGCAGAAGCGATCATGGAGTTTATACGGGAATACGGGATAGCGTCAAAGGTGGGGTATTTCATGATGGATAATGCCAGCAACATGAATACCATGATCGACAAAGTTTCTGACGAGTTGGAGCACGAGTTCGACGTCTTCTACGATCCTCTTCCACACCGACTTCGCTGTTTCGGTCACATCATCAACCTGGCGGTAATGGAGTTCCTCATCGGAAATCGACCGCCCACGACAGATCCCTACCACGGCCCGTCTGACGAGGAAGTTGAGCAATGGAGAAGGAGAGGGGCGATAGGCAAGCTGCACAATATCGTAGTCTACATTACTTGGACTCCGCAACGACTCAAAGCATTTACTGCTCTTACCGACGGCTTGAGACTACGGCGCGATAACGACACGCGCTGGAACTCGTGGTACAGAATGGTTGAGTGGGTTCTTAGACCTAGAATTCGGCACGCAGTTACCATCTTTTGCGCGCAAGAGCCGGCTCTGCAGGAAGATGTCCTGACTTCATCTGACTGGGCAACTTTGGCTGAGATTCACGGATTTCTGGAGCCATTCCACGATGCTACAATAGCCAACGAAGGCATGCGAGATTCCATATGTAACGTTTTACCCACCATGGATTATCTCTTGCACCACATCGAGGCCGCCAAGAAGGCCACCTCTCTCCCTCAATTGGCTACAATGATGGAGACAGCGTGGGCAAAACTAGCTGACTATTATGAATTGACGGAAGACTCGCCAGTCTACTCAGCAGCGACAGTACTCAATCCGTCCCTCAAGTGGGCATACATGGAAGAGACTTGGGAAGACAAAACCGAATGGGTTGAGAGAGCCAAAGCTCGTGTAGGACAGTTGTGGAGGGAGACATACAAGTCCACCGAGTCCACCGCGTGCTGCCCCGCCCTTCGTTCAGAATCGAGACAAGAGCCAACCCCGAAACGACCCAATGGATACAAAATGTGGATGAGCGAGCAAAAGGCTACTATCTTCAACATGGACGACGACGAGTACGAAGTATACTGCCGTGAACCTG